TGAGTATATCTGTGATGTATTCTAGATATTTCCAAAGGAATCTTTTCAGGGAGTTGCTATGACACACCTCTGGAGCAGGTGGGTCTTAAACCCAGGATATTGGGCTCTGGGGTGGGGATAAATACCACTGCACCATGAGAACCCTTTTGTAATATATTCCACTGCACTTAATTTTATTGGCAGATGTTTCCAATCAGTTAGGCCTGATAATCTAATGGTTAACCTTGCACTTCCTTTTGTGTGAATAAAATTAATTTCATAAAAATACATTCAGCACAAGAACAAAATTTGTACCAAGAGCTTAGACTTCTGTCATTTTTTTCTTTTAGTCACATCCATAAAGTCTTCATCCCAAAACATTCCTCAATCTGAATGCAACTAGGTGGCAGAGGTGCATGAGATCGTCTTCACAAGGGTAGCAATGACCTGCACTAATGTATGCTAAAGATAAGATGCACAACTGGGGAGTTGTAGCCACTCCATTTCATTCATTCAGGGAAATCTGCACTACAGGTACCATGATGCCCTGTACTGAAACAAATCTTGCCACCCGGAAAAGGTTTACAGTCCCTATTAGTCACACACAGGAATTTGAATGAATGGCTTGCTCCTGCAAACAATGCATTAGTCATTTTCTTTTAATACACGTACACTGTGAAATGCATATTCATCAGGCAAGGACATACAAACGCATGAACAAATATTAGCAACAGGCGTCGGCCACTTTACCCCTCAAGCCTCTTCTGCCATTCAATAAGATCATGTGTCATCTGATTGTAACCTCATCTCCATGTGCCTGCCTACTCTGGGTTACCTGTCACTAGTGTTCCCTTCATGCTGTGCAGCCTTGCACAGAGGATCCACACACACTAACTGGTGTACAAAACATCAACTTCAGGCTTTGGAAGCCACTGGTTTGTACAGACCTTGGAGGTCTGCATAGTGACAGGAAACATTAGAGGGACCGTAGCCTGTCACCTGCATATAGCCCTGCTGGCTTATCAAGAATCGATCTATCTCTGTCTTAAAGATATTCTTTAAAACATTAGTAATTAAAATCCAGGTAAACCTTTGTCCTGTGATGAAAGTCTGTACTAACTATGGTTCTGATTCAACACTATCTGTCCAGCATGTCTTCATAGCAGCTCCGCTCGTATGTCCAACCAAAACGAAACAGAGGGAATCCTTTGAGATCCTGTGATGTGAACTTAATTGATAACTGCTACAACGTTAATCCAAATCAAGTTCCTAATACGTTACATCAACAGTTACACCACAAGTTCAAAAACTGGGGGAAAAAATGCCTGTTCATCTTCAATTCTTCAGCACTACCATGACAAGACTGAGAAACCTCCAACACTTATTGGTGTGCAAGGCACTGCATAATCCTCATATCAAAGATGTGAATTTGCAAAGTACATTCATTTGAATTCATCTGAGTATCCTTGGGCTTGGGTGGGAAAAACTGCCTCCCACCCCAACACACTCAATACTGCTAACTTCTCACAGCCATATCCATGAGGGATCCTTCATGATCCTGCCTACAATCCTGGCAATGCCCAATAATTAGCTCTGGTGCTGCCAGGCTGTAGGAGCTGCTGGCCAATCAGATTGACAGCAGCTGCAGGGGTGGGACTTTGTCCCCCAGTAAAGGGTGAAAATCTGACTATCTAGTCCTTCAGCACAATAAGAGGGGTCTAGGCCCAAAACATCAGCCTTCCTGCTCCTATGATGCTGCTTGGCCTGCTGTGTTCATCCAGCTCTACACCTTGTTATCTCAGACTGCAGCTTGGGATTCTTTCTGATATGCTGGCTCATCTCATCGCTGATTTTCCTTCTGGGAGTTGAGGGTGTTGAACAGTCAAAGCTATCCACAAACACATAACTTTCTGCCATTTGTGTCCCCTTGACAGCTTACTCTTCTTCCCATCTTTTGGCGTCAGCAAATTTAGCTATTATTCAGTTCCTTCATCCAACTCACTTAGATAGGTTGTAAATAGTTGAGACACCAGTGTTGATCCTTGTGCAACTCCACGAGTCACAGGTTACCAACTTGAAAGTGACTCATTTATCACTAATATCTACTTTCTGTGAAATAAGCAAGCCTCTATCTATGCTAATAAATTAGTCCCTCCTACATGAGTTTTTACTTTATGGTTGATGCTTGTTGCACCCGATCAAATGCTATTTGGAAATCCAAGTACACATCACCTATTTTATTTTATTTTTATTCACTTTGTTTAGTACTCCCTCAAAGAACTCTGATAGTCAAACATCATTTTCCTTTCTCAACACCATGCTGATTTTCTCTGATTGTATTATGACTTTCTAAATGCCCCCAGCTGTTATCTCCTTAAGAACAGATTCTAGCGCTTTCCAAACTTCTGACCTACAACTAATCTTCACTGCGTGGTATGCCTTTATTTTCAATTGACTCTATCCTAGTTACTTAGTTACTGCGCCTTTCAGTCTTTCTTCCTTAATGGATATTGTCTTTATTAGAAGTTCTGAAATACTCCTTGTTAAAAAAAATCTCCCACTCCTCCTCTACTGACCAACCTTTTAACCTAATTCCCAATTCAGTTTATCTATCTTCATATCCTTTGAATTATCTTTATTTAAACTAATCTTAAACTCAAATGTCTTGCCCTCAAAGTGAATGTGAAATTCTACCTTTGATCCCTGTTGCTGACAGGCTCCTTTACAATGATGTAATTAACTAGTGCTGTTTCAATTCTCATTTCTAGGTCTAAAACAGCCTGTACCTTGGTTGGCACTACAACATACTACTTTAAGCCATTGTCCTAAACACACTGTTCCTATTCTAGACTACTGTTGCTAATCCTTTTTGTCTAATCTAAGTGAAGATTGAAATCACTTATGATTATTGCACAATCTTTCTTATAAATCTTATTTATTTCATCCTGTATACTCTTTTCCGTACAATTTGTTTATAATTTTGTTACTGCTTCCACAATGTCATCAGCAGTATCAAAGAAGCATCGAATTCCTACAGTGTGGAAACAGGCCATTCGGCCCAACAAGTCCACACCGACCCTCTGAACAGCATCCCACCCAGACCCATTCCCCTACCCTTTCCCTGTAACTCTACATTTCCCTTGGCTAACACACATAACTTACACATCCCTGAATTCTATGGGCAATTTAGCATGGCCAATCCACCTAAATTACACATCTCTGCCATTGTGGGAGGAAACCAGAGCCCAGCAGAAACCCACGCAGACACAGGCAGAACATGTGAACCTCACACAGACAGAGATAGTAAGTACTGCCAATGCTGGAATCAGAGAATAACACAATGTGGAGCTGGAGGAACACAGCAGGCCAGGCAGCATCAGAGGAGCAGGAAAGTTGACCTTTCGGGTTGGGACCCTTCTTCAGGGATGCGGCATCAGTAGTATTTCTGGGGCATTTCTGAGAAGAGTCCTGACCCAAAAGATCAACTTTCCTGCTCCTCATGCTGCCTGGCCTGCTGTGTTCCTCCAGCTCCACACCGTGTTAACTCCAGCTCCACACCGTGTTAACTCCACACAGACAGTTGCCTGAGGGTGGAATTGAACCCAGGTCCCTAGTGCTGTGAGGCAACAGTGCTATCCACTGAGCCACTGTGCTGCCTTTCTGCAGTGTACTTCTACACTGTACTTTGTGTTAGAAAGCTTGTAAATTATTCTCCGTAAGTTACTTGTTAACTTTGCTATTTCTTACTTCCAGCTAAACTGATTCTTCATCTTGATTTTGTGAACTAAGTTAACTAGGTATCATCCTTAATTAACATAACTTCCCAACCAAATTTTCCAAGCTTCTTGTCCTTCTAAAATATCATCAAGTACCCTTTAATATGTCCAGTTGCCTTGCAACTGTCTTTGAAATGGCTGTCAGTTCATAGATATATATTTCTATTTCTCAGTTTTGTAAGGAATGCAACACTCAGATACAGTGCCATCAGTTTTCACAATTCTTGCAAAATCTTCCCTTGTGATGCACACTTAAATTCATACAATTTGTCTGTTCCTTTCACAATCTGGTTTGATTACCCAAAAGGCTAACTTACTTATCGCTTTGTAGTTTTTGACTGATTTATCACATTTCCTCTCCGACAACACTTAAGAAGACTGACGCCATCCAGATCAAAGCAGCTTGTTTGACAGGCAGCCATCTACACCTTCAAGATTCAACACTGATGCACAGTGGTAGTGGTGTGTACTACCAACAAGATGCAATGCAGTAGCTCTGCTTTTTCCTTCAATGGCAACTTCCAAACCTGCAACTCGACCCTTTAGTTCACTATTTATTTTCAATCCATTCTGTAGTTGGTATACAAAGCTCAGTTAGACAAGAGAATTTAACACATCCTTCGGCCTACTGTTATTCTTATACACTATTTATTTGCTACACTTGCTCTACCTTCGTTATTATAGTTACTTCTCCATCTGAAATATCTATGTTACTTTAATATAGCCACTATTGGTATGAACTAACAGGATCTCTGACTTTATCTTTCCTTCTCAGCATTCTGATGTAAGCTACTGTGGTGACTACAAGCATCTGAACCCTGTAACGTTTGATTTTGTTTAACAGCCTATATCAATAATGAATTTATATAAGTGGCTGAAAGAGATCATAGTAAAAGCAGAAGGCAAGACGCGATGTAAGTTTATATATTATCTCAATTATGTTTGAAAGCAAGAGAAGTTTATCCTGATATAGTCACACAGGAGGCCACTCAGCCCATCGCCCTACTTCGTGTCGATGTTTTGAAATAGTTATCCAAATACCCCTCTGCTTTTCCGCAAAATAGTGCAATTTCCACCTTTTCAAATATGCCCTCGACCTTCATATTTAAGTTACCATGCAACCGTTCCACCAAACTTTTTTGAGGACATGTTCAGGTTTTTAAGCTTGCATTTTTAAAGAAAATGCTACCTTCATTTTGAAAGTAATACATGGCCATCAGTTAATGTATATATGAAAGTATCTGTATTTGTTAGAAAAAAAAGGTCACAACCTCCTAAATGATATTGTTGGAAAATGCACAGAAGTGGATGTCTGTTGGTGTGTGTCTCGATGGTATCAGCTCCAAATCCCTAACCTGCGCGCGTCTGTCAAACATCCCTTACTACCCAGCAGCAGGGACCATCCGCAAAGAGGCACCCAGACTGTATTTTTGAAGACAGCCGCAAAGGCAGATTGCAAAACTTTTCCGGGTTCTGGTCCGCAAATCGGTGTTTTTTTTTGTTGTTGCGTGGTGTGTGAGAGCATGTTTCGATTTGATGGCAGAGGCAGCGAAGGATTCGGAACCGAATCGGCCTTTGGTTTGCAATCAGTGTAAGCAGATGGAGCAGGCCGTTGGGAACCGGAGGCTCGATTTCTCGGTGGCAGCGGTGCTGCCTGCGGGTGGTTCCGGGGAGAGAATGGGAACGGCGACTCCGAAGCAATTCTGCGAAGTCCTGCAGAGGCCACTTATCAGTATCACACTGGAAACATTCGAGAGGTGAGTCAGCTCGAACGTAGCCCGGGGATCACACAGCGTTCCACTCACTGCTGACGTCACAATGGCTGTTCGTATTTGTGTAGCGCCCTCACTTACTGCCCGGGGCTCCCACAGCCCCTTTGCGTACATGCAAACAGTGCACTGTGGTGTCTGCTGTATCCAACGTAGTAATACTGCAATTGCTGGTCCACTCCAACTTCCTGAGCTTCACATTTTTGTCTTTGATCTCCCATATTCTCAGGGCAGTACTTTCATTCGAGGAGCCAGAAATCAATCAGTTCTTTTTTTATTCATTAACGGAATGAGGGCGTCGCTGGCTGGGCAGTATTTATTGCCCATCCCTAATTGCAGTTCAGAGTCAACCACATTGCTGTGGGTCTGGAGTCACATGTAGGCCAGACCAGGTAAAGATGGCAGTTTCCTTCCCTAAAGGACATCAGTGAACCAGATGGGTTTTTCCAACAACTGACAATGGATTCATGGTCATCAGTAGATTCTTAATTGCAGATTTGTTTTCTTGAAGTCAAATTCCACTATCTGCCATGGCTGGATTTGAACTGAGGTCCCCAGAAAGTTACTTGGGTCTCTGGATTAACAGTCCAGCAATAATACCACTAGGCCATCGCCTCCCCTCTGATGAGGTCCTTCATTATCTGATTGAATGAATGTTAACCAGGAGCCAAATGGTGTTTTTGCTTCGTTTAGGGAAGAGGGGAAGGAGACAAAACCAAAGTTGAGAAGAACTCATTCTACCCAGAACTAATGGTAACTCCCTGAAATTGTGACATAATAATGCACTGGTAAAACTTAAGTCAAAAATCACACGACACCAGGTTATAGTCCAACAGGTTTATTTGAAAACACAAGCGTTTGGAGTCTCGCTCCTTCTTCAGGTGTTAGCAAGAGAGGTGGAATGAGACACAATTTATAGACAAAAGTTCAAAAGATCAAAGAACTGATGCAACTGTATTGAATAAACCTAAGATAGCTATTAAATCCTTAATCAGTTAGAAACGAGATGCAGGTTTCGATTGATTGGTATGCAAATCCTAGAATTTCTTTCAAGTCAGTGGCCGCAGATGACTGACTGTTTTATCAGTGTACCAGAGGTGACATCTTGGGTCAGACAATGCATTTTAGGTGTGAGGCCTTGTTTAGAATCAGTGTTTTAACTTGGAGTTAGACTGGTTTTATTTCCAAAGTAGGAATTTATAAAATGCCACATTGATTGTCTACATATCGTGCGCTTTTTGAACAAAATAATGTATCTGCAATTACATATCCGCAAATACAAATTCACTCCATAGATTTATATGTGTGTGCACGTGAGGGAGAGAGAAAATGAGTGTATGTGTATGTGTGTGAGGGGGAGGGAGTGTGTGTATGTGTGTGAGGGGAGAGAGAGAGAGAGTGACGTGTGTGTGTGCGCGTGCGCGCGCGCATGCTTGAGAGAGAATCTGTGTGTGTGTTCATGTGTGAGAGTGTATAGTGTGGTGAGATCATCTGTGGTAGAACATGATCCCAAGATCCCAGTTGAGGCCGTCCTCGTGGTTACCAAACTTGGCTATCAGCCTCTGCTCGGCGACTCTGTTGTTGTGGATCTCAAAATCTGCCTTAAAAGACATTTACCCGAAGATCCGAGGGCAAATGTCCTTGACTATTGAGGTATTACCCCTCTGGGAGGGAACATCTCTGTCTGGCGATTGTTGGGCAGTGTCCATTCGTCCGTTGTCGTAGCGACTGCATGGTCTCACCAATGTACCATGCCTCGGAGCATCCTTGCCTGCAGCATATGAGATAGACAATGTTGGCTGAGTCACATGAGTATCCACTGTGCACGTGGTGGGGGGTGTTCCTATGTGTGATGGTAGTGTCCATGTCGATGGTCTGACATGTCTTGCTGCACACACACACTCACACATGCACACATACACATACACTCTCTCACACAAACACAGTCACATACATGAGGTTGTTGACTTGCTCGCTGAGCTGGCTTGTTTTTGTTCAGACACTTCATCACCATGCTAGGTAACATCATCAGAGGAGCCTCCGATGAAGCAATGTTACTTTACTCCACTTGGAATTTATACTGTCTGGTCTGTTATGGGAGTAGTGTGATTTCCGGTTTTGATCTGTACGGGTTTATATATGGAACAGGAAGGAAACGAGCCATCAGAATACGTGAACATCAGCGAGCAGCAAAATGGCACGATGAACTCTCCTTAATATCAGTACACTCAGACAATGAAGGCCATCGGTTTAACTGGGACAAGGTAACCATAGTAGCCCAAACCAAACATAGACACACACGGGAATTCCTAGAGATATGGTTCTCCACCCATACTTCAATCAACAAACATTTCGAATTGGATCCCATATATAAACCCATACAGATCAAAACCGGAAATGACAGTACTCACCATAACGGACTGGACAGTATAAATTCCAAGTGGAGTAGAACAACATGACTTCATCGGAGGCTCCACTGATGATGTCACCTAACATGGTGATAAAACATCTGAATAAAAACAAGTTAGCTCGGCGAGCAAGTCAAGAACCACATCCACAACCGGAGCTATAGATGTTTGCCAATACTTTAAACAGTCACATACACACACTCACACAGACCCTCTCTCATACATACATTCTCACACTCACACTCTCTCTCAAGCACATGCACACTGTATCTCCCTCACACACACTCTCTTTCTCTCCCTCACATACACACTGTCTCTCTCCCTCACACACAACCCGCGCTCTCCCTCACACACACACACGTACACACACCCTCTCTTTCTCTCCCTCACACGCACGCACGCGCACGTGCATACACACTCTCCCTGTCTGTCTCTCCCTCTCACACACACACACACACACACACACACACTCTGTCTCTCTCTATCATACACATATAAATCTATGTGGTAAATTTGCCTTTGCAGATTTGTAATTGCAGATACATTCTATTTTGTTCAAAAAGCACACAATATGTAGACAGTCAATGTGGCATTTTATAAATTCGTACTCTGAAAATAAAACCAGTCCAATTCCAAGTTAAAACACAGACAGATTCTAAAATAACAAGGTGTAGAACTGGATGAACACAGCAGGCCAAGCAGCATCAGAGGAGCAGGAAAGCTGACATTTCGGGTCTGGACCCTTCTTCAGAACAAGACCTCACACCTAAAATGCATTGTCTGACCTGAGAGATAGTAGGAACTGCCGATGCTGGAGAATCTGAGATTACAAGGTGTAGAGCTGGATGAATACAGCAGGCCAAGCAGCATCAGAGGAACAGGAAAGCTGACGTTTCGGGTCTGGACCCTTCAAATGTCTGACCTGAGATGTCACCTCTGGTAGACTGATAAAACAGTTACTTATCAGGGGGCAGTGACTTGAAAGAAATTCTGGGATTTGCATATCAATAAAACAAAACCTGCATCTCCTTTCTAACTGGTTAAAGATTTAATAGCTATCTTGGGTTTGTTCAATACATTTGCATGAGTTCTATGACCCTTTGAATTTTTTGCTTATAAATTCTGTGTCTGATGCCACCTCTGTCACTAATACCTGACAATAGAGGGAGACTGAAAGCTTGAGCTTTCAAATAAACCTGTTTGACCATAAGCTGGTGTGGTGTGATTTTTGACCTTGTTCACCCCAGTCCAACACTGGCACCTCCATATCCTGGTAAAATATAGATGCCCATTATGACCAGTAGTAATATATTGTCATTGATAGTTAATTTGTAACTGGTAGCAATAGGTGTAATGTACTGCTTTCTTACCAGTGATTCAGTAATAATACAACCAACTGAAATTCACCAAGAAATCATAGCCAAAAGTTTTGCTAAGCAACACGAGCTGAAGAAAGTTACAGGGCTACTGGAATCAAACATTAATTCAGTTTTTTGCACCAGTGTATTCAACTGGTAGGGAACAAGCACTGATGTAATTTGGACAATGGAATCTGACTGACAAAGGAGCTCATCCAGTCATAATGTAATCATGTCTATTCCATGGACCAGGAATCAACGTTCCATGATTGTAATTGAGTAACTGGTCAATTGGTAAGAAGGGATAATGTTATCAACCAAATAAACCTCGCCTCCTTGCTTGAGAAGCTGCTTTTCTCCAGAGAACAGACAAAAGGAGAGATGCAAAAGTAGGACACCTGAATGGGTAAACGCTCTCTCTCTCAACCCATCTTGCAAGCTCAATCCCTGCCTGTTGACCATCCACATATCACAGTCTGTGTTTTAAGAAATGAACCTGCAGTTCTTTTGCCCAGAAAAAAAGATAAATTTTCCAACAACATCTTAATTCATCTCAATGTCAAATGCAGAGACTACTGAGCTTAATCTGAAGCTTTCCCAGTCATTAATCTGCAAAATCACATTCTGTTGACTTTTATTGTACTTTTAAATGACACTTTTCCTATAATCCAACTTTGTATATGTGTGTTTGTGAACCTTTCAATGTAGTCTGAGTGAGAGTTGGAGCTCTTTTTTATTATTTTACTTAGATCTGTTGTCAAGTAGAGGGCATAGGTTTAAGGCGAGAGGGGAAAGATTTAAAAAGGACCTAAGGGGCAACTTTTTCACACAGAGGGTCTGTGCATGTATGAAGTGAGCTGCCAGAGGAAGTAGTAGAAACTGGTACAATTCCAACATTTAAAAGACGTCTGGATGGGTGTATGAATAGGAAGGGTCTAGAGAGATATGGGAAAAACACTGGCAAATGGAAATAGATTAATTTAGGATATCTGGTCAGCATGGATGAGTTGGACTGAAGGGTCTGTTTTCATGCTATATAGCTCTATTACTGTAAGTATAATACATACTTCTTTTAGCAAGACACAAGGCAACCAGTCTGAATGTCTCTTGCATATAAATCTTAAACATTTCACACATAAAATATTAAAGAGTTAAACACACGTGAATTACAAATGTATTATTTTAAAAACAATCTACAGCAATCAAATGTGGTATGGGAAAA